AGAAGCGATCAGTGTTTCACTAAGAGGCAGCTTTAATCAAGTTATCTCTTGGCCTCCACTACTTTAGCTCTTTATACCTTCGAATGACATTCTCTAAAAAGTCTCCATTGCTCATGGCTTAATTGTTTTAACTGCATTGACTATTAAGTTGTTTCATTTTAAGCGTCCGTAATGGTCTGGGAGTTATCAGTCACTCAGAACAGTGCTACTGGAGAAACGCTCCGCTACTACTCCTGATGAAACGTGTTTATATTTCACGAATTTGGTGTTGTGAGGCTCGGTAACGTAGCATCATTTGCTATCAAACGGCTGTCATGATGTGCCAGTATATTTGATAGGTTTGTATCGCACACATGAACTTGTATATCGGTTTTTTTTCTTCCTTCTTTTCCCTTGAAGTACTCCTGTATTCTGCTTGATTTATCGTGGTATGTTTGTAAATGTTTTTGCTCATTTACCCTCTCATCTATGATCTTGATGTCTATTGCTGTTTCTCAGCTTTTTAAGTTAAGTGTCTCGGCACACGGGGTACTCACGTTCCACTGTTAACGTTTTTCTGTTATTCCGTGAGTTCCGTACTCTCCACTTTTGTTGACTGTTTAGTTTGTAAAAAGGTATATAAACAATGTTGTTTAAGAAATGGAAATGTTGTGAGGTTGGTGGAAAGCCCCCTCAACTGCTTATTTTGTTTCACACAAGAATTCATACTGTGGGCGATGCTTGCGTTTAGAAATGGTCTTTTTGGTGCCAGTGAGCGATATCTTTATGTACGCAGCTTATGGTTGTTTTTACTTGGCTTTTTTCTTGAGCTGCAGTGATTGGGGTTCACGAATGTGCACGAGTCTCCGCAGTTGGTGATAGATTTGGTGGGAAAAAAGCTAAGGGCTCACTTTATCAGAGTAGAAACGAAATCTGCGTGTAAGCAGCTGTGGGGTGTTGGTTTTCTTTTGAGAAGACGAGGAACGCCGTCATCTGATCCGGTAGAGCAGGCAGACGTTTTTCTTGTGAATTTTTGTAATCTTCCAGAATTTATGCCTGCATAATTGTCTAGATGAAAGAGATGTATCATTACCAGGGAACGAGTGTTGGACCAATTCTGGTGTAAGTGCTATCAGCGAAGAGGAAAGTCCTTCAGAATGTTGACGCCGACAGAAACAGTGGGTATCATGCAGCGCTCGCGACTACACCGTCCTGTCCTGTGGCGCTCCGAAGGAATACATTTTATCCTGCCGCCGTAAAAACTGAACCGTGCCTCTGCGCTAGCTTCCAAATGAGAATCACATGCATAACCGGTCACTTCTACGAGAAAAATAACAGCACAGCACTAGTGTAAGCGATAACGAACGGTCGCTGCAAGGTGTGGCTTTACTACGATGATAAGGGTAGGTGCAAGGTCCGCGGGAAGCAGCCTTCCGACTTCTATTCCATTTCGCCTGCTGACTCTAAGTTACTGTCGTCATATTTGGAATGACTTCTCCGTTCACGAATTTCGGTCGTGGGAGAGAAGCGCGTGGCCGAGCTACATGGTCAAGACTTGCGCGATTACCCAATGCGCAGGATCTCTTACTTCCACAGCTAGTCCCTTCCGTAGTTTCTGAGGTTGTACACTTTTGGGATTCGGCACTGAGCGACAAGGGCGCTCAGTGTTGAATCCCAAAAGTGTCCAACCATCATCAGCCCAAAACGCCATCGCCAAAAATTACCTCACTCTGCTCTCTCATCCTTTGTCTCTATCCTCTCGCGTGAGTAGCTGTGTCCCAGTTCTTGAAACGCTGGTCCATTCCTGATCCTTACTTGGGGCTTCTTCTACGGCTTTGTCCACTCTTTTTCTCACTAGTCCGTCCAGCCATCTACGTACTCCTGTATAGACCCCAAAGCCCGGAAATTGTAGTCGTAGAATGTATGCCCAAAAGCATTTACGATCTGCGCGGCGTATTTCGAAGAGACTTTCGAGGCTTAGGTTCTACTTTTTTTCCTATTTTTAGCGATGGCGTTTTTTGTAAGCTCCTGTGACTCAGACCTCAGAATCCTAGAAAGCTTCTATTTAGAGCGTTGGTCCAGTCCAAAAAAGGCAGACTATCTGTTTCGTTTGGATACCTGTTTGAAACCCCATCTTCCAAAGATGTAGTCTCGCGATTTTTCAGTCGCATTATTCATATTGCCAAGAGCTTGATATGTAAGGTATTCAATATATGATGGATGTTTCATAGGTTCTATACCGCTGCTGAGCAAATATGCGTGTTGCAGTTAATCTGAACATGTTTCATCCGGAGCTGCCTTTGCTTCAAAGGTATGTTTTTTCGAATTACCCTTCGAGATGCATACAATTTAGTATCTTGTAAAAGTCGAGGTTTAAGGTACAAAGCTGCAGCGGCAGCCGGTTTCCGACAAGTCGAAGTCTCTCTACCGTATTCAGAAAAAGCCGAAGAACTGAAAAACGCTGCAGATTCATTTGGTCTTGCTCACACACTCATAAATGCGCCAACAGGTAACGGACGCCATACGGGCGCTTTTCATGGGTGATCCACTAGTCAAACGTAACGAAGGGTTGGAATGAGTTTGTCAAGAAAGAAACGTTTCAACACTCTCGAACCGTAATTACTCCATTTGACCCCACCACCCTTTCCAACCACATTGGAAAAACATGCATACAAAGGTGATTTGGCTCTAATTACGAATTTCATGTTCGCGGAAATTGGCGCCAGCAAGTTGCTGACGTCAGGTTTTTCAACACCACAATTCCAAGAAGGTACTTGTAAACGTGCATGCCAGGGTTATGTTATGCTATGGTCGCGAACAGCATTTATTTTTAACGCCGGCGCCATTTAGCACCATTAGTCGCTAAGTAAGTGCAATAAACTCTTTTCACCAGAATTTTCGATCACGAGTATAACATTAATTTTCGGCCATTACGCCAGCGTAAATTACTCTGATGGTCTGCGCTCTGCTAAGCCTGAGCCTCGGGATTAGCTTGTAGGTTTGCTAAGCATAAGTTATGTAGATGTTTGCTGTTTAATTATGATAACTGATGTCTAACGCAGCAACTCGCTCTTTGAAACTTACCGTAAGAATGCTAACTTATAGGTAAAGGTCTGACCCCAGACGGGTATTGAACCTTCACTTCACGCTTTTCCGGGCGACGGTAAACACCTGCACCTCGCCCGGGGAGCAGTGTTCAAGTCCCGCCCAGGATCGATTCTGCACATAATCATCATCCTTGTCATATATTGTTGTGTTCGTGAAAGTTTGACGGAGTGTGAGGGTGGTATATTCTGAAAAAAGACAGCTCGTGATAGTTATTGAAGTCCAATTGATGCGGTTAGCTCAGTTTTGAACTTTTCTAATTTTCCACTCATTTACAGGTGACTGGTCGCGAGGGTTTCGTGGTTTGGCCGCGTTGCCGGCATGTAAAACAGAATTTCGGGAAAGTATCGACACTGCGATACATTACGCAAAGACGCTCAAATGTGACAAGTAGGTCAAGCTTGTCTTATTCTAACTAGAGGCTAGTGTAAGCGAGAGAGAAAGGTATTCCTAGGGTTTGCAGGGAAAAGTTTTGCTCAACATTTTCTGCCCTGGTGTCCTGGAAACGGTTTACATCATCCTTTTTGAAACGACACTATATCTAGACATTTAGAGTCCACGTTATGGCTGGTATTCCTACCAGCTCAGCGGCAGACGTTCCGAAGCTGTATCTTGATAATGTTGCCTATGCAGCGGAGAAACTTGGCAAAGTGGGGGAAAGTTCTTCGGAAAAAAGCAGCACAATTTTTTCTTTGTTTCGATTTGTCCTGCCCAAACATTTTGTTTTCAGGCAGACATTATGTGTCTCATTGAACCGATCAATCACTACACTGTCCCTGGCTATTATCTTTCCTCGTATGAGCAAGGTTCTTGATAGGGTACTGAATGTATGATTAACTCGTGTCACCAACGAAAATGTTTCTTTACAGCGAAAACCATCATTGACGCCGTGAAACTGCCAAATCTGAAGATTCAGTATGTAAGTATATTCTTCTCAATATGAAATTATGAAGATGCACCAAAACTTTATTGCAGAGGACTCCAAAGATCCAAGAAAGAATCCAGAAGTTTTTTTGTAAAGTCATTTCTTTCATTGAATATTTTGGTGCATACAATACCACCGTCCTCAGCGATCTGGAATGCAGCACTAAAATGGATTGTTATGGTGCTGCCTCCGCTAGTATGGAGTAGCTACCCTTGCTTGGGTAGCCACCATACCAGCGGAGGCAAGATCCTGGTCTTGAGGAGCAACATAATAACAGTCCACTCTAATTGCTGTGTTTCATATCGCTGAGGAAGGTGGCATTTGTAGGCACCGAAATATTTGAAGAAAGAAACAATTCCGCAAGAAAACTTCTGGGCAATAAAGTTTTGGTGCCTCTTCATGTTTTCACGTTCATATTCCAATGAGGCTCCAGGACAGCACAATAATGTGATGTTTTCTTCTCATTTAATAACACTCTTTTCCAAGCTAATGCCAATTTTCAGGATGTTTTCCACGCCCAACAGATCTGTGGGCAAATATCAGCCACTATAGAAAAGTACAAAGATGTTATAGGTAAGATCAACCCCGCCCTCTTGCAGCGCTTTGTTTCTAGCCGTAAATATTCGATTTCGTGTGTTCTGTTCTAGGCTACATACAGATCGCCCAAGTCCCTTCACGTGATGAGCCGAACACACCTGGTGAGATCGATTACAAATATGTATTCGGGCGGTTACAATCCGCCAATCCAAACTGGACGATAGGACTTGAGCATAATTTTCATGAAGCACATGGTTTACCACGAGACTGGGTGAAACAGCTTGGCCTCAGCATGTAGATGTTTTGCATTTTGATAGCAATTTTGATACTCTCCTCATCATTACGGACTGTCGGGGCGGGTCAGTGCGGCTGCGTTTTCCGCGGTGCCAAAGTCTTTCTGCACCAGTTGTTGAAGCGAGCAAATGACATGACAGCATTACCTTCGTATTACTCGTTTTCTACCACTTTTTGTCGCATACGCGTTTCAACGAAAAGGCTGAGAACGGCTTCAAACAGTGTGCGCACTCCTACTGGCTGATACGCCCCGACAGTCCGTAATGATGAGGAGAGTGTATATACA